CTCTTTCCAAATCCTCATTGAACCGCCAACAACTTCCCCAACTCCAGGCATTAATAAATCTACAGATTCTGTCAAATCCTTTTTTTCTTCTTCATCTTCACAACGAGAAATGTAAAAGGCTTTAATCCCAGCTGGGAAACGATTCAGCAATATTGGCTTTAAAAAATATTTTTTTGAACTTAAAAAAATTAAAAAAAAACCTGGCCAATTGTATCAGTCATTTGTCGTTCAGGACCCTCTGGAATGTCTTCTCCAAACTCAAACGGCTTCCCTTCTTCGTTATTTACATTATTTTTGCGCAGCCATTCAATTGCATCAGCATAAGTCATTCGAAGAAAGGGACGTTTTAATGAAGGAAATTTTTCCTGAAATTTGATTCAAATTGTTTAAGGATATTTTGGTAATCATTTAGCTTACTGATCCCTGTAAAAATACGAGGAAGTGCTGTTTCGATATTTTTAGGTTTGTCAGTAGGCAATCGAGTTGCCGAGTCCAATATCAATTCATATTTTTTATTCTGAATCACGGACTAAATTCGACCAGGTCGAATTTGGAGGTCTCTCAGGAGACTTATCTAATTGGCAAACCTCAAAAATAACGAAGAAGCATTTCTTCCTCTTTTTTCAACAAAACCAGTATACTACTTAAATGAATAACTTTAAAAAAAACCTTTGACGTTTCCCATCGTTGCAATATCAATTCAGAAATTTCAGGATCGCTAAAAACCCTGTCAACAACATCAGAAACAAGATCCTCAATTTTATTCATTAATTCTAAAAAATAATCAAAATTAAAACCTTTTTCCACCAGTTTCAAGTTTCTTTTTCTCCTTCTCTTCTAAATGTTTAGTTAGAGATTCTCTAAAAGTTGCCAATAATTCATCAAATTGTAAATCACCATATTTCTTCGAATCAACACCGAAAAATGTTAAAATTTGATGTTGTGGTAATCCAAGCATTGCACCAAATTTTTTAAATAATTCTTCATTTGTTGAACAATTCTTTATTGTTGATTCAGATTTCTAAAAAAATTAGGGAAATGAAAATTCATAAAATTGAAGGGAAATCTTGTCAAAGTATTTTTTGAAGTGGATGGGGTAAAACAGAGATAGGCATCGATCCTGCGACCTCCTGGGCAGTTATTGTTATGCTCATTTTCACTCACCATAAAGAGGTTTTCTACTGACTGATGTGAGCTCACGGAACTCTGTTTTCCTCTTCTCTTTTAATACCTACATATACCCCGTAGTTGGATCTCCCTAACAATGGCATGATCCAAAAATGTATGCCCCTGTTTTACCTCCAATTTAAACTGTTTCTGTGAAACCATTTCTTCATTAGTCATTAAAGTATCAGAAGTACAAGGAAATATTTCTTGTTGATGATTCTTTTGTTGTTGGTGGTTATTCCCAGTAGCAGATAAAGAACTCTGATTAGTTCCGGGAGAACCTGGTGGGGTCATTGGACCGTGTAAGGCCTTGAGAAAGTTATTTAGTCAATAAATTTAAACAAAAAAACCTGTGAAATAGCAGCTTCAGAAGGAATTAAAGAAGGAGGCGGTGGAGGAATAAAAGATGATGAAGAATCGAATAAAGGTGGAGGAGGAAAAGGTGGAGGAAGAGGAGGATTTTCTTCCACTTCTTTTATTGCTTCAGTTTGTTCTTGTTTAATCAATGTTTCCAATTTTGGATGTAAACGATCAGAAACTGGTTCTACTAAATCTGGCCTGATCTGAAAAAATTTGTTTAAAGGAAATTATTTGGGGTTTTGAATTGGTGTACTTTAAGTTTCAAAAAGGGAACAGCTCGAACTATGTCCAAAAAGCTTTTTTGCGGTATTGAACCGTGTAAAGCCTAGAGACACCATTGTGTAGAGTAAAATCGGTTTTTTTCTAATTTCGAGGTAAAGGCCAGAAAAAGAAAAAAATTGGCACTAGTAAAGCGACTTGGCTCTACACAATGTTGTGTTAGAGTTCGAGACGTTCCCTTATTCAAGGAAAAGGTAGAGGAAGGGGATTAGTGCTGCTTCCATGGCAGAATTCGAGCTGCTTCCATGGCAGAATTCAAAAATAGGATCTTACGGAAAATTTAAACGTTTTCGGAAGGGTTTTTAAAATACTAAATAAACAAACCTCATATTCAGGCGTAATACAAGTATTAAGATCAATTTTTGCTTTCATCGTTAAATAAGATTCAACTTTTCCTCTTAACATTTTATAAGCCAAAATTCTTTCCATTAAATCATCTTTATGTAAAAAAGTTTGGACCATACTATTATCATGTTCCTGCCTTGCAAGTTCAATTCTATTTAGAGGCCTATTAGTAACAGAAGACGGAAATGGAGTAACAGGTGGTGGTAATTGTTGACTAGAACATGGTGCATTTCCAGATTCGACATCGCTTGTAGATTCGACATCGCTTGTCTCTAATAGAGACCCGTCTCTAATAGAAGTCCACCTCTAATAAAAGTCTCATTAAATAGGAGTTTTTTAATTAAATCCACCTCATTAAAATAGGAGCCCAGGGCTTTTATTAGAACAATTTGAGTATATTCAGCTAAAATCTTTTTTATTTAAAGCCCAGCAGCATCTGGAAGTCATTTGGAACAGTCACAGCCTCAACACCAATTTTTACAAGAACAACAAAATTTATTAAACGTTTCAAACGAATTAGAAGCAGCAATGGAAATTAGCAGTACTTCCTCTTCATCTTCTGGAATATTTCTACCCCCACCACCAGCACCACCTCCAATGTTGTGTAGCACCAATAATTCATCATTTCCTTCAACAAGTAGAGAAGCTGTGGTGGGAGATGAAGGAAAAAGTCCTATTTTAATTTCGGGTATTTTTTTTTGCAAATTTTGAGGAATTTGAAACTTTTTTAAATTTAGACACTTCAATTAGTCCACAGCAGCAGCAACAAATAAAATCACCACCAACTTTATTTCCACAAAGTCAACTTGTTTTTACTAGGCCGCCACCACCTATACCCACAACAATAATAAGAGGTTAGTAAAAAATCTACGGCTCTAGTTTAGTTTGTGAGTCCAATAGAAGCTTGAGCATTGAATTCATAAACTAGACGAATACCTAAAATTTTACAAAAACAAAAAATTCAAAAAAGTTTTTAGCTCCTCTTCTGCCCCCATCACAGCACCACCAACTACCACCACCTATAACAACACAACATCAATTTCTTTATCCTCCTCCTCAAATAGAAAATATAAGCAGAAGTCAAGTTTTAGCTTCAGGTTTTTTACTTAAATTTTAAAATCCAAAAAAAAATTTTTAAATAGAATCATCAACTATTCCACAACAACAAAAAAGGCCGCCTTCTCTTTTTTCTCAAGTTCCACTTTGTTTCTCTACACCACCGCCTCCTTTTATACCCACAACAACAACAATGGTAACATCATTTACAGCTCCACCTCCTAGACTTCCTCAACAAATACGCCAAAGATTACCACCACCGCCATCACAACTACAACAACAATTTCTACATCCTCCTCCACGTCCCCCATTAACTTCTAAAGATGCTGAAAGTCCAAATTTAACTCCAGGTTTTTTTAAAATTTTTTTTTGCCTTTTTTAATTCAAATCCCTTTTTTAAGATTCAATAATTATTCCTCGTCATAAACACAAAAAGCTGCCTTCCCTCTTCTCTCAATGTCAACTTGTTTTTCCTAGGCCACCCCCTCCTATACTTACATCGCTAACAACAACGCCACCTCCCCAGCTTCCATTGAACCTACAACAACAACTTCATCATTCTTCTAATTTATCTTCTAGAGATGCAACAGAAAATGAAGTAAAAAGTCGAATTTTAAGTTCAGGTTATTTTTTTATATTTTTAAAGGTTATAGCCGAAATTTATTTTAGAAACGGTTACTCCCCAACAGCAAAGACTACCCCCGCCACCACCTTTCCCACAACAAGTTCCTCTTCTCTTTACTACACCACCACCATCACTTGTACCACCTACAACAGCAACACCTCGTGTTGCTTCTCCTCAAATTCCACCACCAGCCCTACTTCAACACCAACAACCTCCTCAACCACAACAGCAATATGTTGCTCCAACACCAATGCCAAGTCAAAATGATATACTCAAAACTGTGGTACAAGCAATTAATGTTGGAAAAACTAAAGAGGTTAAGTGTTGTATGTCACCCGAAGGAGATGATCCAGCAACAACAACAACAGTGGATAACAAAAGTAAACCCTATGGAAAATTTTTCTAAAATTAATATACTAATTTACGCTAACTTCTTATTTTTAATATATTGAAGGCCTTTCCTATTTTTCTAAATTTTGTATTTTTTCATATTTTTTACGAGTATTTTTCATCTGTATTATTGGGCAAGGAAATTTAAAAATTTTTGGGAGGATGTTCAAATTTTTTTTTCTTATTTTTGAGACCTTGCCCAACGAAAATTTCTTTTACATCAAAATGTATATTAATCGCTCTTTCTAATTTTGGAGTGGAAAATCTTTTTATTTAATTTCTTATTTTTAAGTTTAATTTGTTTTGTTTTTTCACATGCAGCCCTTACTATTAATCTTATAATTCAAAAAAGTATATTGATTGTGCTATTTTTTATATTTAGCCACTTTTTAAATAAATTCTTGTCAATAAATCTTATCTTATTGTTAGAAATATTTTTATAGGTATCAGGGATGTCATCGAGTCTGGGTTTCAAAATTTTCTTAGAGCGGGTTTTAGGTCGAAAAAAGTCCGGGTCACCTATTGGAGAAAATCAGTCGAGTTAAAAATTTCTGGAATCGGGGTTCGAGTCGAATAATAGCCCGGATAACCGTGAAATTCCTAGGTATAGGTCTTATCTTAAAAATAATGAATCTCAATATCTTAAAATTTTTTTATAACAACAGACTTTTTACCAACAATTTAAAAATTTTTAAACAGTCACACATGTTCTTTTTGGGACAATAATTTCAAAAATAAACTCACAATAACGACTATAATTTAATGAATTAACAAAATTTTACGGGGCACATCGTCCAATAAAACGTGGATATAAACAAACATCTCTTATATGGTGTTGATTAGCTAACCAGCAAACAAACCGTTCCAATCCAAGTCCATAACCTCCATGTGGACACCCTCCATACTTTCTCTGGTCTACATACCAATAATAGTGTTTAGGGTCAATATTAGTTCTTTTAAAAGCTTCTAAAAGTTCTTCCTCTTTCCAAATCCTCATTGAACCGCCAACAACTTCCCCAACTCCAGGCATTAATAAATCTACAGATTCTGTCAAATCCTTTTTTTCTTCTTCATCTTCACAACGAGAAATGTAAAAGGCTTTAATCCCAGCTGGGAAACGATTCAGCAATATTGGCTTTAAAAAATATTTTTTTGAACTTAAAAAAATTAAAAAAAAACCTGGCCAATTGTATCAGTCATTTGTCGTTCAGGACCCTCTGGAATGTCTTCTCCAAACTCAAACGGCTTCCCTTCTTCGTTATTTACATTATTTTTGCGCAGCCATTCAATTGCATCAGCATAAGTCATTCGAAGAAAGGGACGTTTTAATGAAGGAAATTTTTCCTGAAATTTGATTCAAATTGTTTAAGGATATTTTGGTAATCATTTAGCTTACTGATCCCTGTAAAAATACGAGGAAGTGCTGTTTCGATATTTTTAGGTTTGTCAGTAGGCAATCGAGTTGCCGAGTCCAATATCAATTCATATTTTTTATTCTGAATCACGGACTAAATTCGACCAGGTCGAATTTGGAGGTCTCTCAGGAGACTTATCTAATTGGCAAACCTCAAAAATAACGAAGAAGCATTTCTTCCTCTTTTTTCAACAAAACCAGTATACTACTTAAATGAATAACTTTAAAAAAAACCTTTGACGTTTCCCATCGTTGCAATATCAATTCAGAAATTTCAGGATCGCTAAAAACCCTGTCAACAACATCAGAAACAAGATCCTCAATTTTATTCATTAATTCTAAAAAATAAAAAAAAGCTTAAAGAAATTTTCTAAAAATTTAATAAAACCTTCAAAAGTAATAAATGGGCATTCTGCCTCAACATGAGAGTATTCAGCCAAATGACGCCTCGTTCGAGATTTTTCCGCTCTATAAGACTGCGCTATACAATAACAATCGCCCAAAGAAGAAATGCATGTTTCCAGATAAAGCTGCGATGACTGGGTTAAATAAGCTGGTTCACCAAAGAAGTCTAAGGAAAAAAGTGTAGAGCCTCCCTCAACCTTAAATTTGGCATGAAAGTCTAAAAAGAATCTTTAATAAACCTGCGTTTGAACAAGAGTTGGAGGGCATACTTCGACATATTTACGCGAATGAAAATGTTCTCTAACTGCACGCGTTACGGCCGCTCGTATTCGAAGAATTGCTGAACAATTTTCTCCTCTAATGCACAAATGACGATTGTCCAGTTTAACATCAGGATTTGCCTCGACGTTTAACACATTGTCAATCCCACCGGGCGGCGCTCCATGAATTAAAGTCCAAAAATCAGCGACGAGCTCTACACCACCAGGGGCCGTCTTTCCTTCAGGGAGTTTGTTTATCTAATTTTTAAGATAAAATAAAAGAGAAAAGAAGCAAACCGTTCCGTATATACAAATAGAGCTTTCCGTGCTCAATGTTAAAGCTTCATAAGTTTGGCAAAGTAATCCACTCAAAACACATTGCAAAAAGCCAGTCCCGTCTCGAAGAACAACAAAAATCAAGTCCTTTCCTATAAAAATGGAATAATTTTAAATAACCCCTTTATACCCATAAAACAAGCGGGCCATTGTATCGCTTTTTCCACCCTCTATGGTTTCCCCGCTTCGTCCATGGATGCGATACCGAGGTCTGTTTGATGGTTTTATGGATTTAAGATGTCCCTGGCATGGTGCTTCCGTCTCCCACAAAAGATCCATTTTGTAAAATAATAAGAGGAAGATTCGAACCCGGACCCTCAAAATCTCAAAATTAAAGGGAAACCAAAATCTTATTAAAACAAACTTTGTTGTCGACAGCGATGTACAAAGCCAAAAATTTGAACTCTTTGTCCACACATTGTAGAACAATCACGTATCTTCACTTTACTTGGAGCAGGAAGTGACGAATCGAGTTTGATTTGTATTTTCTTCGCATCTTCCAAACGCTTCTTTTCATCCACAATTTGCGAAGCTTCCTTTTCCACAGCCGCCAACTTTTTCTCACGTTTTCTTCGCTCTTCATCAAATCGACCGGTAGCTTTTTTCAATGCAGATTTCGACGGTTTATCCCACTGTTTTGCCTCGCCTTCTTTTACTGCAGAAACAAGAAAATCACCTTCTGAGGTCCCAGCCAATTGCATTGCTCGAAACAAACTTTTCAAGGGTTTAAGCTCACTTCCATCTCCACTGTCGTCGTCGCCGTTGGTGTTGCAAATATAAAATTTTTGTTGATCCATAATTAGGTTAAATCCAATTTTTGAAATAATTATTCAAGCTTAAAAGCATTAAAAAATGTGTAAAATTAATTTTAAAAAATATTAAAAATATATTTTATATATTTTTATAAAATACAAAATTCAAAACAAAAAAATAATTTTTAAAAATTTATTCGATTAAAAAATATTTAAATTTTTTTGTTATTTAATTTAAAAACAAAATTTAAAAATTAACCACAAATATCAAGTCCTCGAAGCAATAAAATTCAAAAAAAATTTTAAAATTATCTACTCCAAATCAATGCAATAATTGTTGTAGAATAATCCCCCCACCCAATAATTCTCCCAAAACCTCAAATAATAATTTTCATTGTCCCTCTCCTACACCGTGACATAATTTTCAAGTGCTGTCTTTTCAGCGAGTTAAAAGAGATGAAAAAAAAATTCTGCCTAAATTCAAATTTTTCTTCTTATATCAAAAATAAACCCTCAGTTAATTACTTATTTAGGGAAATATAATTTTGTGGGAAAATTTTTAAATTTTTGTGTGTGTTTCACCGGAAATGTGTCTATTTTTTATTATAAAAAATTAGGTAAACTCATTTAATATTTTTTTAAATTACTTATGTATCTATATGTACATCAATATTCTTATGACTTTAATATAATTTCCGTAAACTTTTTTCTATGGCCTTGCAGCTGATTGGATATTGTGTTAGGTTGGGTGAGAAAATAAGTGTTAGGTTCGAACCATGCATGAGCATTTAAGCAAATATTTGTTTTTAATTCGGAAGATAAATTATTATACACAAAATTTTATTAAAAAAGCTGGTCATCTTTTTTTTAATTTTCAAAATAACCAAAATTATGCGAAAAAAAAGAAAAAAATGTGAATAATTAATCACAAGCTCTTCTATCCATTTAATCCCTCGATATACTCTGAATCCTCCTAATGAAATTTTTTTCAAGCACAAGTGCCCAACACCCCCGCATTGTCTTAATTTGTATTTTTGTTTAATTTAACTTAAAAAATAGATAATAAACGGAAGTGCCTCTCACCTTTTCCTATCTTTTTCTTCAAAGAGAGAATTAAAAAACCCTTTCCTTTTCATGAGAAAAGAAAATTGGAATAAAAATTAAATGTGATTGGCGTCCCCTTTTCCCGGAAATGCCATCCTTATTATAAGCTACATTTATACTTTTCTAAATTATTGAATAACTCAAATTCTTGTCTTTTTTAACAATTTTTTAAACATACATATAAAAAATACCCTCCCTCGATTAATTCACCAGCGGAAAGTCGAAACAATAATTTTAAAATTTTAATAATATTTTAACAGATAAAAAACAAAAAATTAAAATTATTCAATGGCACATTTTGAAAAATCATTAAAAAGTGGAAAAATTTTTTTAACTTATAATAATATTGAATATTACTACATAAGAACAACTAAATTAATTCCCCGAGTTATTTGGGAATGTAAAAAAAATAAATCATTAAAATGTCGTGGTAGCGTATTTACGCTTAACAAAGAAGAGGGCACAGAAGTGTTTCCGAGGAAGGAACACAATGCAGCGTGTGCGGTGAAAAATTTTTTAAATTTAAATTTACTAAATTATTTTCCCCGTCCTTCAAATAAATACCCCCTTCCTAATATCCTTCAGTTGGAGATTGAGAAATATTCACTCTCTTAAAAATAGTTAAAATTAGCCTTTCTAAAATAACCACAAAAAATTAACTCCATTAATTACCCTCTCTGGCGAGAGGTTGAAACAATAATTGTCCCAGGGTAAATATTCGAACAATTACAATTAAATTAAAAAAAGAGATTAAAACAAAAGGCAAAATTTTTTTAATTTTTAAATAAACTTAGGCGCTTCGTTTGGGTAGATTGGAGGTTGGTGAAGAGGAGGAAATTGAAGTAAAATTTTTAAAAAATTTAAAATATTATAAAAATACTCAAATGGGCATAACTATACTCCCTAAGCTGTGTAAAAAATTATTTCGACGGCTGGGGTCGAACCAAGATCTTAACTGTTGATCGGACGGATGTGTTACCCACTACACCACGCCGCCTTTTTAAGACAAAGGAATAAAAAATGATAAAGCTTTACGAATAAAAATTCCTCATTTTAACAAAAATTTCCGGAATGGATTTTCTTGGGAAATTTTCAATTTTGCTTTTGCGAATTTATAATATGGAAAATGTAAAAATTTTAATAATAAATACATATGTATAGCAGGGGGAATTGCCCGAAATTGCTATTGTGGAAAATGTGGTGGAAAATGAAGAAAATGAGGTTGGAGATGAGGTTGTTGGAGTGGAAGGTGGAGATGAAGTTGGAGTTGGTGGAAATGAGGAAGAATATGAGGTTGATGTTGTTGAAGAAGAGGTTGGAGAAGAAGATGGGGATGCGGTTGGAAATGAAGTGGAATTTAATGGGGATAATGAGGAGGAGGTAGAGGACTTGAAAATTTTTTAATAAAATTTAAAAAAGGGTAAAGCTGAACTGAGCTTTGCTATTTCTCTCCTTAGACTAATGCATGTGGTTATTTCGATGTCTGGGACATTCCCTTTAACAGACTGATGTGTTATCCACTACATAAATGACACATTAATATCTTTTAAGAGTTTAATAGCCATATGCTTTACAAAACCCCAATTTTACTCAAACATTGCCCTCCCTCAAATAATTACCCTCTTAAAAATAGTTATAATCAGCCTTCCTAAAATAATCTCAAATAATTACCCCCTCTCTATTAATTCCCCCCAGCGAGATATTGAAACAATAATTACCCCGTCTAATCACAGGTCCAACAGCCCAACGAGTTAGAGATTTTGAGGGAGAGAAATTTGGAGCTCGAGAGGAGAGTGGCTGATTTGGGTTTAAGGAACGCTAATTTGGAGCTGAGGAATGTGGAACTCGAAATCGAGTTGAATCGAAGGGATGAAAGGGTAATTAAAAATGGAAATCTTGTTTATCCGTCTAATTTTATTGCCCCTCTTTTCCTTCTCCTTTCCTTCTTATGCTTTCATTTTAGTTTCTCATTGGCATTACAAAATGGTCAACAATATACAAACAATATACATATGTATAACACCCAAAGTGCCGCAATTTGGTTAAAAATCCTTTCAAAAAATTCTGTTCTGTTCCCATATTTCGCTTTTTTATAAATGAATTTAATTCTTGCCCTTTAATTGCCTTTGACCATTTTGTGATCTAAAAAAGAAATTAGAAATAAAGGCATGAGGAGGAAAGGAGAAGGAAAAGAGGGGTCAATAAAAAATGTAGACGGATAACACGAGAGTACCTAAAAATTTTAAACAAATAAAAATATTTTTTAAATTAAAGATCGAAGGGTTGGAAGCAGATTTGGCTAGAGTTAATAGACTCTTTAACGACGGGCTCAATGTCTTTGGGGACCGAGTCCTCGAAATTATGGAAAACCGCCGGTATTATTAATTTCCCCTTTCTCTTCCCCTCATTTTTTTCATTTTTCCGTCTCCTTCCCCTTCTTTTTTCCGGTCTCTCAATTTCTTTTATCCATGCCTCTTTTTCATTTTTCCGTTGGTATTCTTCTTTTATCCGTCTTCCTCTTCTTCTTCATTTTCCCCTACTTTTCTTCTTCTTCCTCTTTTCTTTTATCCGTCCCTTCTTCTTTTTCCATTATTTTTCATTTTCTTTTATCCGTGCCTCTTCTTTTTTAGTATTCATCCGTTCTTCTTTTCTCCTTCTCTTCACATTCTTCTCTCCAATCTTCTTCATATCCGGCCACTCTATTCCACCTCGAACAAATCCACTCCCTGTAGTTTGTTTTAGACAATTTTAATGCTAGATATTTTTTTATAAATTTTTTATATTCATTTCCTGTCGCATATTTTAGATATTTTAATTTTTTTAATTTTTTTTATAACTGGAAATCGGACTGAGATCTTGAACGATTATTTTATTTCGAAAATTTTCACCTTTTCAAGAGTTCTATTTTTGATTCTTGTCTATCAGTCCAATCTCTAGTTATAACACTTAAATATTTTCTAAATTTTTTCCTGTTCCCATATTTTAGACTAGTTATTTTCACCTATAGTTCTTTTGCCTATTGGTGATTTTCTTCTCAACTAAAAAAAATTTTTTGGAAAAAAAAATTTTGAAAATTAAACATAATTTTACGTAATTGCTTATATATGATAGGGAAAAGAAAAAAATCACTAAATACAGGCTTTAAATTTTTTACAAATTTTTTATTGTTGTAAAACCACTCCAAACATTAATGCCATAAGACAAAATTACATATTAAAAAAAAATTTTTCTAGCTTAAACAGAAAAATAAATTTTAGTTTTACAATTTATGGCAATAATGTAAGAGTGAACAAAATATTTCTATTTTTTACAAATAAACGAAAAAAAATTTTTATTTTGGGTAAACTTGTGAAAATGGAGGAAGGTGAGAAAAAAAGCAAAGGATTGGATTTAAAAAACTGGAAAAAACAGGCACAGAAACAAAAAAAATTTTTTTGAAAAAAAATTAGGGGGTATCACCAAGGAGGAACCACTATTTGTCCACGTGCAAAATCGTAAAAAGAAAAATCTACAGCTGAACAGGGATGCTAGCGAGTATTTTTTGGCGAGTGGGCAACAGGCAGTCACATTCACTTAACTGCGCCAATCAATCATTTTCTTGGTGCAAAATCGTTATCAACAATGAGTTGTTGATTATTAATTATCAGTGCTGCAATTAAAAGACCTTAAAACCCCTAAACTTTTTCTTTCAATAATTGCAAATTCCTAAAAAAAAATTTAATTTTTTTAGATAAATTCTAATACAAAAAAGAACAAAAATATACATACACACAAAAATTGAGGCATATGAAAAAAAGGGTTAAAATTGGAATAAATGGGTATTTTTTGTTATAAATCTCTAAAAAAATTTTTTTCTAAATTATCACCAGGATTTCTTTGCATATTTTAAAATAAATTACCAACAATCGTCTTCGTTTTCTTCCTCCAAATTTTCCTTCTCTTCAAAATTTTCTTCATTTTCCTCCAAATTTTCTTCTTTATTTTCCCCTTCCTCATCGTCAACCTCATCCCAAATAGTTCTTTTTTCAATTCGTGGAGGCAATGGAGACACTGGAAATAAAACTTGAAATTGCTTGGAATTGAGTGGTTGTAATGTAGTAAGCTCGATATGATTTGAAGGACCAGCAACATTGTTGTAGTTGTTTTGTGACTCGGGTTCAATTGAAGTTGAGGTATTTGCTGATATCTGGAAAAAATTTTAGATTAGAGAGAATTTCTGTACTATTCGTCCGCAATTTTTATCCGCAAATGTCTGTCCGCAACTGGAAATGTGGAAATCTACGTGTCCGACATTTTGTTTGCCTGACCTTTATCAACCTTATAAATTTTTGAACCTTTGTGTGGGAAAAAAGAGAGGGAAAAGCAAGACAAAAATTTGCGGACATGTGGAGGTATAAATCGAAATACCCAAATTCCTTAAGTTAGTCCCCACCATCTTCCCATAAGCCTAAAAAAACCTCCGTACATTTTCTGGACTTTCAATTTCTTCAAAAATGTTGCGCTGCTTGACGTCTTGATTAATAAATGTGTTGAACACTAGAGTCATTTCTTCAAGTTTTTTGTACGCCAAATTCTTTTCTTCTTTTAAAATGTTATTTTCTTCCTCCAAATTTTTTATTTTTTCCTCCCAACTTTTCCTTTCTTCCTCCCAAGTTTTCTTTTCTTCTTCCAAATTTTTATTTTTTAGTTCAAGTTTTTCTGAATATGAACTTAAAGCGTTCCAAGCCGCGTAAATGTAGTCAAGTCGATCGAGACAATATTTTTTGAATCTGGTTAAGTTGTTACAATTCTCCATATTAGTACAGTTAGTCTTAAAAATTGATAAAAAAAATGAGGGTACATCGGCGCGCGGCCATAACGACGCAAAGCTATAACTTGCTGGAAGATTTCTGGCCCTTGCCAATTTTGGTACCAATCTCTTTAGCTCGATGAGAGGAATCGTTTAATACTAAATTTGGTAAGATTCGACAATCTTAAAGCAAGTTATGGGTTTGCGCCGTTATGGCCGCGCGCCTACTTGGATGCGTCCCAAAAAATGATAAGTAAATGATTAAATTGATAAGAAAATACTTAAAGATAAAAGACAAAAAATGTCTGGATTAACGATTTAAATATCTGCCTTTTTTAATTTTACGCACATGCCTAAATACGTTGCTGGTCACTTAATCCAAACGACATTTAGTCCAAGCGACATTTTGCCAACTAGAGCAAAATCGGCCAGTTGGTCTGACGACTGGTAGAAGAGAGCTGTTTACATTAACAAATTGTTTGTTTTTAATTTTTATACAAGAAAAAATTTAGTCCTGTTTTTGCTGCACAAAGAATATAGAGGAAAAGACGGGGAACTAAATCTTCCTGCAAAAAAATATTTTTTAGATAAGAAAAAAATTTTGAGAGGGAAGGGGGGGAAGCACACACAAACATTCTTCTTTCTTAACAATCTTTCATATGCTTCCCAATTTTTTTTTAATTTTCTTTCGTTGAAATAAATTGAATGACGAATGGAGGGGGGCTGTCTTTTTAGGGTTTTCCTTTTCGCTATTTAAAATCTCTCAATTTTGTTCGTTCATTTATTTTCACTTTCACATTTTTCTTCAAAAAATTTTTTTCAAATTTAATAAAAAATTTAATTTTCAGTTATTTAATTCAATTATTTAATCAAATATGCAGTGTCTTAAAAAAGCTAGTAATTTACAACGTTGTGTTCAAGTTGAATGGGAAGATGGTCTTTTAGCTAAGGTTTAATTTTATTAATTGGTAGTGGTTGGCATGATCATTTTATGGGGTCCGACAGATCGCGAAAAATACCCTGATTCCCTCCATTTTCCCCCTTTGTGCAGTTTCCCCCACCAGTGCAGTTTCCCCCCACCATATTTTTTAAATACCACAATAATCCGGCCCCTGATCCGTTCAGTCGTTGGGCATTTTTAATTTTATTAACACTTAATTTTCTTTTTTTTCAAGTTTTCCTACATTTGGCTCAGAGATAATGCACGTAGACGTCCAAGCCTTATTCATTTGGATTTGAATACTCGACCAGAAGAAATTAAATGTTCAAAAGAAGCGTTAGAAGTTCAATGGCCGCCGTTTGTTGCCTCAAAGTAACGAAAAATAATTTTTAAAAATTTTTCCCCTCATTTTCCCCCCTTAGTGCAGTTTCCCTCCCATCATATTTTTTAACTTGAATAAGTTCTCAATTTTAAGGTATACTTCTTCATTTCTTCGTCAAAATGCTTTTAATCAAAATGATCGTCTAAATAAAATTTCTGATCTACTTAAAGACACTTCAACAACTGTATCCTCGTCCTCAACAGCAGAAGAAAAGCAGAATCACTCAATTTTGGATCATTCAAAAATGGATTCGTTAGATGAGAGCATGGCATTGGGAACGTGTTATTGGGAGGATTATGCACAAGAACCGGTTTGAACTTTTTTGCTTGGTGATGTTTCTGGCCTATTCCCTAACGGAAGGTCCTCTCCAATAGAAGCCTCCCTCCATTTAAGGCCCTTTTCTCTTATATAATGCCCTTTGGAAGACCCTTTGAAAAATAGAATGCCCTGGTATTCAATAGAGGAAATATGCTTTTCGTACGTTTCTTGTTGACATTTTTAGATTTTTAAGTTTTACAATTTTTCTGACTTTTCTACAAATTTAGGGAACTGTCTGGCCTCATCTTTCACACGTCCCCTCAATTGTAACAATCGAAACAATGAATGGTCCAGCACAAATTTCAATTGTAAATACTTGTAAGACATTGTCACAACTACGAGAACACTCCCCAGAAGAATTTGAATTTTTGGCTAATTCAATTTTGGAATATAACGGAGGAGGGTTATATCGTTCAAGGCATCCAATTTGTTCAGTTGATGAAGATGGGAATATTAAATCGGTTTATATTTTTTTTAATTTGGTTATAGTCAATTTTCCGGACTGAAAGGATGATAATTTTCTTTCAAAAAAATAATATTCCCTGAGTGGGATTCGAACCCACGACCTTTGGGTGGCAAAAACCAAACACTATCCAACTACACCAAAGTGGTGAAAAGTTGTTGGGGAGTGGAAAAAATCTTGGATTTTTTTTTCTGATTTTTCTTGGTGACTATAACGAAATTTGAGATGAAAATAGGACGTTTTCGAATTTTTTATTCCAGGGTGTTTTCAACAATGCAGCTCGTTCAAGTACAATAACAGTAAAATCATTGGACAGGCTATACGAATCCCTTCAAAAATTTGGCCGTGTATGCGCTGAAAATACTCAAATAATAACTTTAATGCCTGGCCAGCGTCTTTTGTTTAACAATAAAGAAGGAATGTTGGGAGCACCTGCACAGAGAGGACGTCTTTTAATGCTCAAATGTTTTTCATGATTCTCATTAGTATATTTTTAGTTTTTTCGTTTTTATTTTCTCCATAAAAATTTTCAAAAATATTTTTTGATGTTTTTAACAATTTTTAATAGAAAAAATTTTAATTTTCTTAAAATAAAAATGATTTTCCCTGGGTGGGATTCGAACCCACGACCTCTGAGTAGTCCAAACCTAACACTATCCAACTACACCAAAGTGGTGAAAATTGAAGGGAGAGTAAAAAAGTCAATGTTTGCTCAGTCAGCATTTTTTGAAGCTTTTTATTAAATTTATTTTTAGTTAGCAAACTATTTTTAAGTAAAAGCTTTTTTTAATTTTGCTGCAGAAAGAAAAGCAGCATAGGTGAAGGTACACAAATGAATGAAATAAAATCACGTGAAATAAAAAATATTTTTTTAATGAAAAGAGAAGTGGTTCTATCAAAAAATATGTTTACTCTTTTTTGTTCCTTCAATTAATTTTTTAATTAATATTTTTAGTCAATAAAACACCAAAGGTCCCTGAAAATTTGATAGAGGCTGCCAAGAAAAAAAAGGGAGAATTATCAATTAAAATGAGGTGCTCCCCCAAAAAAAGTAAAAATACCCCCTAAAAACCTCCCGAGAGAAAGAAGAAAGGAAACGAGAAATGATTTCGTTGAAATGATTAAAATTGAAAAAAAAAGAAAATTAATTTCTTTTATTTGCAGATTATAATAATTCTTTGTATGGTTGATTAGTTTTCCCCCAAATTTTTTTATTTTTTTGGCGAGATAGTTTGAGGTGATTATTGGTGGAAATTGAAAAAAGAAAGGGAATTAACCAGCGATTTAAAAAATTTTTTTTGTTAAACAGAGGGTTCAAAGTAAAAAGGTTTTCCCCCTCTTTTAATAACGTAGACAAAAAATCATATGTTGTTTATGATGTGAAATTGAAAGAGAGAGAAAAGTACGATTGAACGAATAAAATTTAACTGGATTTTTAGTAAAAAAGGAGATGACAAAAATTGGAAATTTTTTTTTAATTTTATGGTCTTTTGAAGCGTTGAATAAGGAGGTTTTAATTTAACACCTCAGATTTGATGCTCCAGCTTCTACACGCTCTGGCCGTTCCTCACCTTGGGGTGATAGTTTTATGGATGGATTAATGCGTTATATAAATGGATCAAACAACCGCTTTGTCAAGAAAAACCGGGCTTGGCCACATAATCGCTACGTAATTACGGAACTATTGAAGCCTGGAGCGAAGCGAGCGAAGCGAGCACGACCGCAGCGAAGCACGGCTGTTAATGTTTTCCCTTGCATATCTGTTACGTTTTTAAATTAATAACTAAAATTTTGTAAAATTTTTTATTTTCCTTACATCCTCTCAAGATATCCAGCCACAAGCTGGTGTCGATATCATTCGACTTTGCTCGTCGAACTCACAAATGAGTTATTATTTGTATATTTAAAATTTTTCCCTAAACGCCGAAAACATGCTGCGCCGAAAAAATGGCGCCTATTCGGCCGCGCCTATTAGTCGTGTACCCATAATTAATATACATATCAATCGAACGGTGGGGGATCATTGTGTACCGACGTTTGTGTCTTGGTTTAAGTTTTAAGCGAATGAAAAAAAGTACCATCGCGACTAAGTGGACTAAAATCGTACCTTATAATGATAGATATCTTAAATAGATTTTACTTTTCCTTAAGGTAGATATCACTTTTCCAAAACGTTTATAAATTTTTATTTTTTGTACATATTTTACGGGTACAGCCCGAATTGTCGCGGGCCAAAATGTCGCGACCGAATTGTCGCCGGCCGAATTGTCGCGGGGCAAACTTTTCGCCGGCCGAATTGTCGCCAAGCTTTTTAATTAAATATTTTGTCGGGGATTACAGAATCGATTTATTTTCAGGATTTGTAATATGGACAAAACACCAAAGAAAAAACAAACACCTTTTGGCTTTGGGAATTCTGTCCCGAGGTCAAACATTTTTGAAGATAGAGCAAAGGAAAAGTTGAGAAGTTTGGGCCGTATTCCTAAACAGGTTCTTTGTTGTAGATTTAAGAAATAATATTTATAACTTTTAGATGCATCCTACCCCAAAAAACTTCGTCGCAGTATTTTTAATACTGCATTTTTACATGACCAAAGTAATTTGCCATGCAGCTGTGCATCAAATTGATAAGGTAACTTTTCCTTCTTTCCTTTATTTTTAAAAATCTCTTTTTAATAATAGGACAAAGGGTTAGGATGGGAATTTTGTCCGTTTTTTATATTTTTTAAAAAATGCTGTGGGTCCTCCAAAGAAAAATTCCGAAATCTTTGAAAATTTTCGAAACCCCCCGAAAGGACGCAAATGGGTCAATTTATACATTTATATTTTTTCAGAGGGCTTATATTTTCAAATAAGCACCCTCCTTATTAATCACCCTTTCTGTGAAAGTTGAAGAAATACCCAGGGTAATTATTTCAGTATACTATTGGCTGAGTTTACGATATTGGCTGAGTTTACGGGAAACGGGGAAACCGAAAAATTTGACTAGGGGGAAGTAAGTACGTACCCGAAAAAATTAGGGTAGCGCATTACCGAATTTTTGTGCCTTTAATATTTTTAAATACTAATTAATTTTATTTTCAAGGAGTATGGTTATACATCATCTCCTACTCCAGATGATCCTGTTATTGAATTAGATGACCAACCTGGGCCTTCTTATAAATGAAGTTTAAATTTTTTTATTTATTGTTAAAAATTATTGGCTCTTGTCATGTTTAGGCTCCAATCACACCTTTATACGTCCATACAACCTTTATACGTTCAATGAAATGTTTATACGTCCAATGAAAACTTTAGACGTCCAAACAAATTTTTATGCGATTCGGATTTAAGTTTAACTTTTATTACTTTTCAAGAAAAAATTCCAAGTTGTTCCGGCAACGGGGTAAGATGGTCCGTCACGGGGAAGTTGGCTTTGGGAGTTCTGTCCCGAGGTCAGACATTTTTGAAGATAGAGCAAAGGAAAACATGAGAGGTTTGGGCTGTACACCTAAACAGGTTCTTTGTGGTAGATTTGAAGAAAGTTGTGGCCGTTTGGGGTATATTTCTTGAATAATTTTGGGGTTGCGGACAAAGGGTTAGGATGAGAATTTTGTCCGCAAGTTGGAAATTTCTGTCCGCATATTGGATTTTTGTCCACAAGAGGGAACTTTTGTCCGCAAGATTGAGCGTTTGTCCGCAAATTTGGAAGGTTTTTTTAAATTGTCCGCAAATTTTAACTTTTGTCCGCAAAAATTATTTTTGGGACTTATTGTCACCCTCTCATTCTTCCAAAAAATTTTTAGGTTGCTGATAAAGAAAATAAACCACACATCAAAGCAAACGTCAACGGAGAGATTAAACAATTTGCTCCAGAAGACCTCTTAAGATATTTCGCGTCTAAACATGTCTAGGTGTTTCATCCGATTTCTTTCCGAAAAATTTATCATGCAAAATTGTTTTTATTGATTTTTTAGTTTGTTTACATTTTGTTAAACTTTCAACTGCTGTTTAAATTTAAATATTCTTTTTTTCGTTTTTTATAAAACACATTAAAAATTTTTATAAAAAATTTGTTTTAACGTTAAAAATTGTCATTTTAAAAATTGTTGTTTTTCATTGACTTTTTCAATAAAATTATTTTTTTGTTTCATAAAATTTGTATCATTTTTAATTAAATAATTAAAATATTGAATGATTTTTTAAATTTTTACCTTAATTATTTTTTAATTTTAAAAATATTTTTTTAGCTTATTTCAGCCTTATTTTAATTTTAATTTGAATATTTAAATGGATGCTTCTATAAATAAACAAAATAATTCAAATGTTGTTGGACATTCTTTTAATGCAGCTTCAAATATTCTTGATATTGGCCTTGCTAGAGAAATTCACTTAATTGTTAGTTAGTTTTTTTTTAAATTTTTTTTTGATGGTGGGAAATTGTTTCAGATTTTTTTTCAAATTTTTGGGTCACGATTTCACAATTTTTTTGCAAAATTATATTTAAATTTTGAATTTTTTTCAAATTTAGAAGAGTAAGAATTAGAGTTCCAATC